CCCCCCCACCACCAAACCATGTATTTGTTGAATAGCGTATAATTTCCTAAACACTGCATAAAATAGTATGGTATTTTGTTGCTGTTGATAGTTGTCAAAGCCCGAAACACCCAACAAGGGTCGGAAGAGAAGCCAGGTGGAGATTGAAAATGAGGAAGAGAAAGAGATCTCATTGTTCAAGAGAAAGAGAAACGACAGAGCTGATGTAAGTGGGTGTGCCATTTGTTAAATGTTAACAGAAAGAATTTCTGTGTAGGACGACAAGAAAATTGTTCTTTGAAATTTGATTATAACAGTTGTTTTAATCTAAGTGCTGTATAATTGTAACAGTTCCATTCATCCGTATTGAAGCACTTCATTTTTACTGTCAGTATTATAACAGCTCATTTTTGTTGCACAGTTACCACTCCCAAACGTACGTTTACTGTTCTGTGTGTTATGTAATAGTGCGGGTATGTCATCTTTAAAGTTGTTTACATGATATGTTTTGCCGCCGTATTCCGACTGACTGACTTCTTCTTTTTGTGTTCAGAGTCCAGCAGAAAGTCTCACTACAGACAGTGGCTCCATAGTGGATGATGTTGACAATAATGAAGCAGAAACAGAAACTACTGGGGAAACCATCGCACCAAACACCATTTCAATTCCGACACCAAACTCTGCTACCGGAAGTTTGGATTCTTCTCCAGTGATACCCTCTGTTCCTGCCACTGCCATGACGACCCTTCCCATCCCATCGTTTGATAACCCACCACTCTCCAGTAGTGTGTCCATAATGCCAGACAAAGTGGACACGACTGTGGGCTCAGCAAGCCAACCACAAGCAACCACACCCATTGTGATAATCAACAATATGGGTAGTGGCAACTTCAAGGCCATTAACTCTGAAGCATCACTGTCTGTAAGAAGCATAACGCAGAGTATCGGAATGTCATCTTCAAATGGGGCTCCGTGTATCCCAACCTCTGTTCCTATGGTGGGCCTTAAAGTGCCTATCCCTAACTTAAGTAGTGTTGAAGAAAACGGTTTGAGCAAGAAAGTTGTCGATGATAATCTGTCATCTGACTCAAAAGGAGGCATTCTGGAGAAGTTTCCTCCTGGTCAGATGCAGTATACACCCCAGCCAGTGTCAATGCAAAGTGAGGATTTAGAGAAGTCCAATGGTGAGTTGAAGGTAGATGACGAAGGTACTCGAATTAGCTTGAAACTGCATCAAGAGGCACTGGATAGAAGGGAAAAGGAACCAATGGGAATTTCATTGGGCACCAAAGCTAGTGATGACTTTTGTTCTCTATCACCACTGATGAAAGTGATGGTAAAGGAAGAGCTGGAGAGTAGCAATGACGAACTTTCCAACGTTCAGATGCCTTTGCCTTCTGGAGGTCTTCTGCTGAAGGATGAACCACAGTCACAGAGTTCACAACATGTGGGAAATATTGCTAATCAGGTGGGGTCGATCATTGGGACTGGTAACCAGAACATAAAGTTGGAGCCAGGGATCCTGAGGGAACAGCAAGCCAGCCCAATGGAACTGTCTGCAGGAACCCAGCAGCTCTCCCCACATGCAGAGCATTCACCCATGCAGATACAAGCTTCAGTGATGCAGATGCCTCCTAACATGTCTCTGTCCCATCACTCGGGTCGCTCATCTTCACCCATTCTGCAGGTCCCAAGTCACCACTCGCACCTGGGCTCAGGCGGTGGACCACCTTCAGTCATGAGACAGGCCACTGATGTTCGAGGAGGCCAGTCTTCAGACTTGAGGCAACAGATTTCAGATACGCGACAGTCGACAGATATTCGCCAGGCTCAGGATATGCGAGGAGGAGGACAGGGATCAGATGGTAGACAGCCTTTGGGTGACATGCGGTCAGGGCCTCCGTCAGATGTTCGTCAGATGTCTGATGTCCAGCAGCAGTCAGACATTCAGCAAATTCCAAATGGTGGACTTGGTCTTGAGAAGCCTATTCCACAAATGTCTGGCAGAACCTACAGTGATGATGATCAGGAGAGGGACTCCAAATCATCACAGTCTCTGCAAATTCCACCTGTGTCTATGCCAAACTCTTCTCAGTCTTTGGTCCTTCAGCATCAGGGGACACATCAAGCTTACAGCTACTTGCCTGGTTCCCCATACCATCACCATCAAAGGTCAATGGGAGGAGAGAAGAGTATGGGAATGCTTCATGTCCCAAGTCTTCCCCCCAGCTCCACCCTGACTGGTGCCAGTATGGGGCAAGGTCAGCAGAATGAACCCCAGAATCTGAAGATCAAACAAGAGATCATTGCCCCTGCAGACCAGGTGATGCCCCCTTCTGACCCACTGCAGTCACTGAAGGATGTCAAGATCCCGGGGTACTCTGCTTCAAGCACGTCTGCTTCGCAGCCACTTCCAGGCAGCAACATGAATTCAGGCTCTGTTCCTCCAGTGAACCATCCTTCAGGACTGGAAATATCAAGACCTCCATCAGGAAATGCCTCCACAAATTTCCTGGGACCTTCAATTGACAACATAAAAAAGGAACCCGAAAATTATTTAGCAGCTTCCAGTTCTGTCGGTGCACCTGGGGCAAATCTGCCTTCAGGTACACCGAAGTCCCCACCTCCCAAGCACTCTTCATCATCTCATCCTGCTACAGAAATGCACAGTTCAGCGGCTATCAACTCATCTACTCCGCCTTTGACCAGAATCTCTTCCAGTACGCCACCAGTGCCACTCCCAACCTCTCAACCTCCGGTCTCACACAGTGCTGCCAACCTCATCTCTCCGTCGCCTACGTCTGCTCGACTGACTCCCACATCCTTACCAAGTGGACCAACTTCAATCCCCCAGCCAGTGATGCACCCATCTCAGCAGGCCTCCCCAATAAGTCGTGCCTCTCCAGGACATCCTCATCCTACTCCCCACCCCCATCCAACGCCTCATCCCCACTCCTCACCATTTATAGGGCCTCCTGGAGCTCACCCTGCATTGCATCATCACCACCCTCATCACCCCTTGATTCACCACTCGTTGTTTGCAGCTGCCGCTGCTCATGCAGCTGCTGTTCATCATAACCCTTATCATCCTCACCACCCATATGCAGCATATGGGTATCCGTTTCCATATCCATATGGTCCACCAATGCCTCAGCCTCACCCTGTACCCCCTCCTCATCATTCTACACCCCCTGCCCCTGTACTGCCAGCGCCTCCCACGTCGTCCAGTCACAGAACGGCCCATGAGCAGGCAAAGTCTGAGACTAGATCTTCGTCAGCATCTGTTGAAAGTACAACAACTTCATTACATACTTCTCATCACTCTTCGCATTCATCATCTGTCACCACTCGCAGGGAAATCTCTGCTACTTCATCTGAGTCTGACAGCAATTTAAACTCGTCAGTTGCTAGTTCAGAACGACATCATCACACAACACAGGAACTGACCACGACTCATCACCATCATTCATCGCATCATTCATCTGTCCATCACCAGATGACAACGGAAAAGCAGCAGCCACTGAACCATTCAGTAACCATCTCTCATTCCACCACATCCTCAAGTTCAGCCTCAGTGCAACACAAGATTAACACTGGGAGCAAAACCAACTCAGGGGGCACTAGAGCTTCAAGTCCCTCTTGTCATGTTTCTGCTACTCTCTCTTCCACGACTTCTGCCTCAACCTCGATCTCTCTTCCATCTGGAAACCATGGAGGCAATCATCACCATTCCCATCATCATTCTCACAGTCACCATCACCAACATCACCATCAGACCGCGAGTGGTGATCGGCTTTCCCCGACCAACCCTATGATAATGCCCCCAGCAATGAACATGCCACTTGCGTTGGCTCCTGGAGCTCCACCATCTAGCAGGAATCATCATGGGGGATCAAGTCATCAGCATCATCAGAGCCACAGCCATCATTCAAAACAGGGCAGTAGTGTGGGATCAGCCAGCAACCCACCAAGTTCACACCATCATCCAAGTTTGATGGTGCAGCCAGGAGGGCTCCCCCCACCTATCAGTCACCACCCCATGGGACTGGGTTTGCCCCCGTCTGCTGTGCCGGGATCTTCTTTGGAGGCCTTGAGGTATGTCCCATGAAACAGATGCTAGAACTGTTGCAATTCATCAGTTCTTTCTTCCGTTTGATTTCCTCCCAGTTACATTTGTTTTTATTCCAAAAACCTTAACCTAATAATTGTCCATACTTTTCATAGTCACAGATGGAACTTTGCCATTTTTATCTGTAATAAAAACTGAGTTACTGTGAACTTTTGTATTATTTATTTGATCGGACCACTTGTTACAGAGCTCATGCGCAGGCAGCTGCGAACATGCAGCAGCAGCCACCAGGCATGATGCACCCTGCATCTCACTCACCCCTGCAGCTACAGCCCCCTGGCCCCACGCAGTCTCATGTGCCAGGTGTGTATGTTTGCACGATCCATCACCACTCACTACCAGATTGTCTTGTTCAGTGACGTCAGCATTCTTAGGTATTCCAAGATGTTCTCTATTTCAGTGGAGAAAAATATTCTGTCTGCAAGTGTAAATGATTTTTCTCCAGTAAGTAGTGTACATTGTTCTACATTTTGTCGCCTTAAATTCGGACATTCGGTTAACATCACCCGGTAATGTGTCTTGCTTGAAAGCAGAGAAGAAATGTTCCACTACACATACTGAGTTGGTTGTGGTACTTCTGTAGTTCATAGACTTCTTTGCTGAATAGAACGATCCTTTTAGAAAACCAGAATAAATCCATGTCATGAAGTTGCTTTTTGTCATAATTGTGTTTATGCAGTTAAAGAATAAGAACGTGCTTTTCAGGCCCACATCATCACTCATCACGACACTTGGCTCAAGGAATGCCAGATGAAGTGAAGTCTGAACCAATGAGTCACTCAGGTAGCGCAGCAGTTGGCAGTGACCTGGGTGACCCTCAGATGGGGCTCCAGCAGCCCGAAGAGGAAGAAGTGCCAAGTCCGAACCACGTCCCAAGAGGACCAAGCCCTGAACCTAAGATTGAGGACACAGAGTGTCACAGAAGTCAAAGCGCCATGTAAGTAGTTACCTGTTAGAGCATTGTTTTTAAATTAGTGAGTGACAAATTTTCTGGACAGTGGACAGTGTTTGGGAAATCATGTAAGAAATAGGATGATGTGATGTTTGCAGTATGAAAAGATAAGTTACGCCACACCACATAAAACATGGAGTTTAAAAGTTTTATCTAAATTTTCTCTGAGAGTTGTAGGAACTTTTGCCAGAATATGACCTGGGTGGAACTCGGCTATGTACTAGAAGTTTCTCTGTTTAAGAGGCGTTAAATTAAATTAAAACTTGTTCTGGCTTTCAGCTTTCTGCGACACTGGAATCGTGGAGATTTCAATTCATGTACCCGTACAGATCTGACATTCAAACCTGTGCCAGACTCAAAACTGGCAAGGAAGCGAGAAGAGAGGTTGCGCAAGCAAGCAGAGAAGGAACGTGAGGACAGGGAGAAGGCCGCTGCTCAGGCCCAAGCTGTGAGTATCTGCTTTGAGTCCAGAGGTAATCTATCTGTGTATGTTCTAGTGCACAGGCTCGGTATTCTGATTCCATAATGTTGGGCTTTGTGCAAAGGCTGAAAGATTTATGTACATTTATAACACTGGGGAAACCTTGGGGATGTTACAGCGTAAGATTGCAACTCCAGAGAAACCAGAGGGCCCCAAGCCTCCGTCACGTGGACCTATTGAGACGATTACATCTCCATATGATCGCTTCACCTCACGCCAAGGTTACCCTGATACGCCGGCACTGCGCCAACTGAGGTACTTGCTCCTTGTATATTGGTACATTGCCTTTGTAAGATTCTAAACCTCTGTAGCAGTCTTCACTTTCAGCTGTGATACTTTGTTTCTTATGAAGGTGCAGAAATATGTTTCTTTTATTATAACCTTTCCAATCTGGAATCCTTTTATCTGTACATCATTCAATTCATATTATTGTCGCGTGTCTTTGTATTTCTGTGAAAGGTCATCCTTGTTCTGAGGATGAACCCACAAAGAAAGGACCGCTTAGATTTAATTGTCGGTTACATTGACCAGTTTTTCACTAATTAAGTTGTGGTGTGTTATTTGCAGTGAGTATGCTAGGCCCCATGCAGGGTTCTCACCAGGCACGTTGCCTCGTACAAGTCTTGGCTTGCCTCCACAGTGCATGGATCCAATGCTGCACTACCAGTTGAACAGCATGTATGGTCCCACTGCTAGAGAGAGGTGGGTGACAGCCATGTCAGTTACGAAGATACTGGTTTTCATGTATTGTGAATGTCACAAAGAGTACTGAGTAAAAATAAGACACATTAAAGTTTAAAAATTAAATTTGTCATTGTAGGTTGGAATTAGAGCACTTAGAGCGTGAGAAACGGGAGAGAGAAATTCGTGAGCTGCGGGAGAGGGAGCTGAGTGACCGCCTGAAAGATGAGTTGATGAAGAATGCAGCGGGTGCAGGCCCTCGTATGACGAACGCTATCGACCCCCACTGGCTTGAACTCCATAGGAGGTACGTAACGTGCCAGGCTGTAAGTGTATTGTTTGCGCGAGTTACAACGTGGCTGCCACAGTACAATGTTTCTGTTGCAGGTACACTGGCCTTGGACCAGGTGGTCCTCCACAAGGGGCAGCACTGCATCAGTTTGGCCTGTATCCCACCCCTACAGGACCTAGCCAGGTAGCACTCAGTCAGCTGGAGCGGGAACGCTTGGAGAGACTAGGTGAGCAGAGTTGCTGCAGTTGTTTGCTGAAATATTTCATCTCTTTGTCCTCCCAGTGGTTTGTTGTCTTTCTACTTTTAATTTCAAGTTGCTTTTAGAATTGTATTATAGGTCAAATAGAGCGTATGCCTGGAAGAACAGACATTCACTTGTTAGTTAAAAGTCCATGATGTAAGTGCAATTATGTGACTTCACCAGGAAGTCACTGCAGTTCATCGGGGATGGTTGCTGATGTTACAGGTATTCCTACGGGTCCTTCTGGTCCCCATGGCCCTCCCCCTGTGGGGCCACCTGGCCCCCACTCTCACCCTCACCCTGGATCGGTAGCTGCGGCCCAGTTGGAGGCGGCAGAGCGACTGGCCCTCGCAACGGACCCCATGGTACGATTGCAGATGGCTGGCATCTCACCAGAGTACCATGCACACACTCATGCGCATACACATGCACACTCTCACACACACCTCCACCTGCACCCCAGCCAGCAGGCACAGCAGGCCCAGGCACAACAAGAGGCTGCAGCTGCTGCATCTGGGACTGCAGGTTTCCCTCTGCCAGGTGAGTTGTCTTGGCCTGCTAGATTCAGGCTCATTTTCCATATGCAGTGTCATTACGTATTAGGATCAGAGTCCATTTGTTATTGTCATCATAGTTTCTGTTGCTTTTGTGTGGCCTCATTGCATCGAGTTTGCGACCGTGTATCCCAAACAATTGCACGTCTATTTATCGTTTCACTCGGCTCACAGCCCTGTCCAGTCATGCAAGAGTTCTAAGTAAACTGTGGCTTCGCCTGTTTCCCGAGCCACCTAACCTTCCTTCACGTTGTCCTCAAATACTTCTTTCTCCAGCTATTCTTGTGTCACCTGGCCCTGAAATGGACCATTCTCCATCACCATTTTTCACTGTGAAGTCTGGTAGAAACTAACTCATGTTTCAGAGGCAGTAAGCACTTCTTTTACGTTGGTCAATTTCTACCAGACTACGCAGTGCAACATAAAAAATTCCATATTTGCTTTCTCTAGAGCAAAATGTAATGCGCTCCACTTTATTTCAGCATCAGCAACTGCTGGCTATCCTAGGCCAAGCCTTCTTCCCCCTAGAGATGCTGCTCTTGGATTGCATCATCCGTCAGACATATTGGGGCGTGGTGGGCCAGGTTACGCAGATCAGCTGGCTCATCAGGTACAACCCTTCAGCAGTACAGTAGTGTGTAGACATTCATTATGTGTGCTGAGAATACAATTTTCAGGGATGTGCAGACAATCTGAATTTTTAACTGCCCAGAAAGTTGATGGACGCTGTGTTCCAGGTTCAAGTTTAAAGTTTAAAGAGAAATCTCCTTTCTCTCTACTGATATGGTTTGTTATGTTGGCAGCTCTCTGCACAGGCTGTGGCTCATGAACAGCTGCAGCGTCAGATGATGTTGGAGAGGGAGCGGTTTCCACATCCGCACCCATCCCTCGTTGCTCAGCACGAGGAATACATCAGGTAAATGACAGCAATGATGTTCACAGCTCATGGAAAGATTGTGTGCCATTGTAGTGCTCGTGATCACAGTTGTTTTGATGTGCAGGCAACAGCGGGAACGTGAGATGAAGGTGCGAGCACTGGAGGAGGCTGCAAGGGGGTCTCGACCTTGAACTGACGCTCTGTCAGTTGGATATTGACTGCCATCCTGGTGAGGCCCAGTTGGTCTGCCCATTTCTTTAGAGGGCTTTCTCAGATTTCATTTTTCATCAGTTTTTAGATCATTCTTTCAACATGTTCCTACATTCTTATTTCTCGTGTTTCCAGTCCAGTTGAATTTTCTTCCTCTGCATCTTAATCTTAATATTTCTAAGGCCTCTGCAGAAGTTGGAACACTACCGATTGTCCATTTGTCCCATCGTGCCTAAGTGCTGTGACATGATGAATATAGATAGGGGTGTGGAGGTGAGTAGTCTGCTTGTGATAGAGCACTGACCCCATTGCAGCGGTTGCCTTCATAGCTAGTTTGGATGTGACAATTTTTTTTTGCATGTAGTTGGCATCAAGCCACATTGTCTGAACCATAGATATCCCAGCTTTATATGTATCATTTCACATTATAGAGTTGGCTGTCCATGAAAACACTGATAAGTGTTTATGCTGTATGGATGGTATTCCTTTGGTTGTGATGCCATGCCATGTGATGTGGAAGAATTTATTGTCTGATTCTTCAAGATTGAAGACTACAAGACCACATGGCATCACAGCCCAGATGATTGCGCTATGTATGGGAATGAAATATATTTCGTGATACAGAAAGCACAGAGCAACATTATATTCCTGTTGAAAAGAAGTGCCTTTCAATGCCACTCTTCTGTACCTGCGACTAGATTGTCATGCACTAGTCTTTTGTAATGTTCACTGTAAAGTCAAAACATTTGCCGAGACTTGCGTATTCTGCCACCAATGTTGTACCGGTAGAAAGTAATTTCATGTATGATAGATTTTGTCAGATAGAGGAGTGATCTGATCAGTGGTACCACCACATCCACGCTTTTATCCACTGGCAGCTATTTTCCATGCAGGTAAAGTGGCTGGAGTGTAAAGCATTAAGCTTTACCTCCACTCCCCCTATACACCTTTGTGGCATACCACCTAAGCGCAGGGATGTCTTTACCCTTACCTTGATAGTGTAAGGGTCGAGGAAGTGCAGTTCTCTGTGTAGCAACGTAAGAGGTTGGTGGTTGAAGGGTCATTTGCTTCAAACGTTGCACGTCTTTTCCTTTGCTTGCACTGTATATTTGTTAAAGAATGTAGTTCATTACCTCCATTGGCAATTTTGTTGAACTTTTAAAGCTACAAAAATTTGTATTTCCCTTTGAAGGACATTACTGGCCATAGAGTGTAGACTTGTCGGTAGATAAAAACGTTTTGAAGGAACTTAACTGCCTCTGTCTTCGGCCCTGAAGATGGAGACAGTATGTCCTTCTGAATGTTAGTATCAACCTACAAGTCCACGTGGCTTTGCAACTCGGAGGGCCAAGAACATCTTTGCTGTGAGAACCTCTTATCTCATACTACTGGCCGTGTCTGCACATTTGTGAGATGCTCGGTGGTTTGCTAGGGATTTTGGTGGTACATAAACTGTACTGTTTTGAAAACAAAAATTACTGTGTTACTAACCGTAGTTGCAGAACCTGAAGGCTCAACACCAGCCTGCCGTTGGACACACATGCTGGTCACATTCTTCCCCCTTCCTCATGTCCCACTATCAGTAGATGCATCTTGATGTTCTCCTCCGTATTTCAGGTGGTCAATTTTCCTGGGTTTTCCATTCAAAATTCTGTATGCATATCTTGTGTCCTCTATCCAAACTACGTTTGTAGCTCATTGTCTTGTCCTTCATTTCACTGCACCAAAAATACGAAATGGCCCGCATAAATCACGGGAGTTGCTTGTTATGTGAGACCCTGAATTTCTCACTTCATTCGTGGGTCCAGATATTTTACGAGTATTTTGTTTTCAAGTGTTATGTACATAATTTAAAGGAATTGTGTATGTATTAGTAAAAATGAAAATGAATGAAGATGACTGTCATATGGAATGTTGTGCTGTGTATTGTAGTAGAAGGTCACCGACGTTTCATGGGTGATCGCTGCTTCCGGGACAATAACCCTAATGCTGGAGGCAGCAGGCACCTCTGAAACGCTAAAATTCTATTTGACTTCATGGCGCAACATCCCAGAAGGCAATTATGTTCATACAAACTGCTGTGGGAACCTGAAATCTCACTGGGTAAGTGAACGTCCCTACTCTAGTTGTACGACGGGATATTTTTTAAAAGTCCGTAATTTCTTTTTGGGAAGTGAAGTGTTCCAGGATGGCATTTATTGTTACCAGGAAAATTAGTGCCAAGTACAGTGCACGTGTGTAGTCATGGGTGTGGAGCAAAGATAAACTACAAGTGGGTGTGTCTTAATGCAAGTGTTTGTTGTGATTGCAGGTGTCACCAGGAAACCAGAATGTGCACGCACTTCAATGCATATACACTTTTTTAATCTTTAAATTTTGTGTGTGGCGGGTGGAAAAAGGTAACTTGTCGTGTTTTCACTTTAGAAAATGGAAGCATACTGAATATAAATCAAGGTTTTAGTACAATTTTTTAGTACGGTTAAATAAAAGAAACAAAATTGCTAATATAATTATTATTATTAATAATATTAATATTATATAATCTTAAATGTAAGTATGGAGTAAAAAAGAAATAGTTAACAATAAATATTTTGTGACATTTCGTAGAGACACGGGTAAAGCTGAACGTGAGAGAAATTTAACGTGCACTTAACGGAAGCTTTCGGTGTTCACTGTGTTATATTTTAGCCTGTGTTAACGTGGTAGTGGTTTGTTCCCGTCGCAGAAGCGCGATGGTCCGGCACAGTCCATAGCAATAGCTGTCGATGTATTATGATATTTCACTTTGATATGGTGCATCTTTCCATTTTGTAAACATGGAATTGCCGCTTGACCTGCAGAGTGGCAGTCGGTGCACGTGCGAGGCTGCCGTCTTAACGTAATATATAAGAAGATTTTCCTCTCTTAAGTGTTGTCAAGTAAAATGGTTTGATTAGTCAGAGTTACTGCGAGATGTCTTGTAATTGTGAAGATATTTTCTTAGGTCTTCCGTGAATGATCGTACATCTTTCCTTCCTGTTTCTCTGTTGTCTGGGTTGGTTTCGCCATGGAATGGTTTGGGGCGGTGTTTCGAAGTGGCATTGATACCAGGCTGTTTCATCGCGGTCATCAAACATCGCTGCGTCAGAACAAGTCTCGGATTTATCTACTTATTGTTTTGGAAACATCTCAAGTACAGCAGAAATCAAAAGTTTGTCCATTCACCACCACATCCAGATCAGGTCCGGGACCTATCCAGCAGATGGAGCTGGAGGGTGACCACACACTTACAAGTAGTGCAGGGTTCTTATACTATAATCCCTATAATTATTATTATTTCACTAAATGTATAGAAACTGGGAACTGTTTCAAACAAGATGCAATTTATGCATTTTTTCTAAATTGACTTTTTTGTCAAGCTTTTTTATTATTATTATTATAATACAATTGAGTTTTAGTTTCTCAAGAACAAAATACTGGAATTTTAAGAAAAATCCATCCGCAGAGTTCAATGGATCATCATGCTCTCATGATTTCGCATCAGTCCGTATGTCCCCTCTGCCAGCTGGCAACGGCAGTAGCAGATTCCATCTCAGAAATGAGGAGAGTTATAAATGTACAGGATCATAAATCTCAATATTAGTTACGAGAAGGTATGTTTGAGTTTCAAAAAGTTAATATTTTTTTTTAGACATCTGTACACTTTGCATTTCTCTTGCACTTGAATGATTCGGTTTTTCACGTTTGCAGTAGTTTACGTATATGCAGAGCAACTGCAAGTGTGCGCAGAATTTTTATGAGAAATGGCTGTTGCTGATTTTGATTTTTTTTTTCCTATTTTTTTTTTTATTTTGATTTTTTTAAAATCATAATTGAAATTACTTGAGCCGAGTATCACTAAAGTTACTCCACAGTGATACATACGACATGCTCTAGAAATTTTTGTGTAATGTGTGTTGTCCCCTTTCTTGCCACAGATTGGTAATACTGGGTCCTGTTTCTTACAAAATTAATATGTTAAATTCTAACGATAGCAGCACAACTCGGTAATTGCAAAGCCGCGTGATTTGGCCTGCTGCAGACTTTGAATGGTGTGGACTCGGGGCGCGCGCTTCAAAAAAATTGTTCTGACGCCGTCCGATTCGAAAGAAACGCTGCTTCCAGGCCAAGGGCACGTGTAAAGTTGTGGTTTACCTCACAGTGTGTGGATATATATATGCATTCATTATATGTTTAATTTTCAAGTATGGTTCTGTGATATGTAACTGCTGAAATTCTGTAGCTCTTAAAATATCGTTTTATGTCCCTTTTCTTTCTAGTTTGCATTTGGTGTAACAGGAGACTATCAGATTGTACTTGGAAGTGTTTCAGTTTTAATGAGTTATAGAAGGCATGAGACATAAACATACAGAAACTGGATTGTGTTTCCTTAAATCCCTGCTTCCTGCAACACGACCTCTTATGAGTTCGCCAGCTGCACCCCAACGCTGGGTTTTTTAGGGTCCCGTGGAACGTGAATGTGGCTTTTAGCAAACCATAAAGGGGGTAATTTTTGTGCAAAAAATTGTACAGTAATTTTATGGTGAAAAGGTTTAATTGTCTTCTAATATATTTGTGGTAAATACAGGTGAAAGAATTACTTACCAAAGACCATGAGAGGGTAAACAGCATGTGTCCAAATGATTTTTTGACTGAATGCGCACCACAAAATATCACATAATAGTCCCACAGAGAACATTAAACTGGCCACCAGTGTCTTCTATGAGCTGGCGTAGCTCAAGTCAGTATAGTTGCTGGATGACTGGGGTTTGATCCCTGACAAGGACAGAAGATCTTTCCTCCAGCCTCTGGGGCCCACCCTCCAATGAGTACTGGGGGTAAAACGAGACCGTGGCGTGATGCTGACCACTCACCCCACCTAGTGCCGTGGTCAAGAATGAATAGGAGCTTTATCGCCTCTCCCCACAATCGCCTACATGGCGTATAATGGGGCAGCTTTATTTTACAAATGTCTTATATTTTTCCAGCCACTGCTCTATCTTTGGGAGGGTGAGCATTTGATGACGTGGAGTAACAATGGACTCGTGTGTTTTGAAAAATGTTGATAATTCGAAAAGTTTTACATCGATTGAATATTGTATACGAAGGTCCCAGGTATAAACTTCGGTCTCGAGTCTAGCTTCCCTGAACTTCCTCGTTCTCTCGATGTAAAACGACTGTATAGTACCTTAAATTGGCCACGATCTCTTCCTGCTGTTGTTTGGCACACCCGTTATGTATAATCTGAGCAGCGTCGTACGTATGTTCGCCCTGGTCCTTCGACTCAATCGTAATATAAGTGGGGTACAAATGTGGGCGTCGTCCCTCCCAAGGCCCACCGGGGTCGTTGAGATGGTTTTGAAAGGCAAAAGTTGTGGGTGGCCTGGAGGCTCGCAGCATCTGGAAGCAATTGCCTTACAGGGCGACCTGAATAAACAACACAGGGTGGAATTCCAGCCATGTGTGCGCCTACTTTGTTCGAACATAACCGATAATGGTCACGTCGTCGGATATTTAGTTGTTGGTTGTCAGTACTTTTCGAATGTTCGGTGCTGTTTATTGAGGGCTCGTGATTCGGGCTTATGCGTTAGGCTAGTTAGAATCCTTTAAATTCGTGGGGGGTGGGGCTGCTTGTGGGGTGTTGTCTGGTAGAAATTAACCGACGTCTTAACCTCAATGTTGGGAAATTAAAGGGGAAGTGGACGGATGGTTGGGTAGGTCCTCCATGAGTGGGACAAATGCCTACAAAATATCCGGAACCAGGGCGCTGAAATTGTTCTCTGTCGACGCCAATGCTAGTGCAGACGATAATGCTAAATGCTTATAGGAGCCTTTCGGACTGGTAGATGGTGTGGGAGGAGTTGACAGTGATGAATTTGTGGGCGTGCTGGAAATGAAGATGGCGGAAATCTGGAGCATCCTCGAGACAACTTTCCAGGACTTCCTCACACGTGCGTGGTGGGAGCAACTCAATGGTTAGTGTACGGCTAAGACGTTAGATGTTTAAACTGATACGTAGTCTTGAGCACTGCGTATATAGGCCTGTGGATCTATAATCGTTTAAACAATGGACGCTTGCGATGTTATTTAAATATGATACTGAATGGTTGTTGATAAATCAGTCAATTTGGAGTGTGTCTCGTGTTTGAATGCTGATCGAATGCAACACTGAAGACTTTCGTTATATTTGTGTAACGTCTCTGACTACTGTCAATATCCATACAGAAGTTTGAGTGTTGTATGAGTGGTTGGTTACAAGACCCTTAAATGTGAAATATAGCAGCCGTTTGAGTGGGGTGGAAGTGTTTTAAGAACGAGAAATCAGCTGCAGTCAGTAACCGTAACTGACGAAATGTACGAAGTATGTGAAGTTTTAAAAAGTAATTTTAATAAGTGCATTAACACATTGTCTTAGTAACAGGAAATTGACAATTCTGTTATAGTACGGTCATTTCGAAATTGTAGACCGACAGTATTTGGACCGATAAATGATTTGAGCTACAACAATGAACAGTATCGACTGTCATTTATCACAAGGAGACAATTGATATCGATATGGAAGCTGAGTACATCATGGGGACATTGGAGTCTGAAGACGCGGATGTGCAGGGGGCGAAGAGAAGACGCCAGATGTTGCAGCAGCCCCTCGTACTGGAGGGAGGAAAGCACAGAAATCAGGCAAATGCTCGAGAAAGGGACAGGACACACAGGTGAGGCATGTCTGCTGCTTACGTATAATTATATATAAATACATACTTTTATCGGCATATTTTATATACATTACATACAATAAAATATACGGATAATAATGTGAAAAATTTGTAAAAAAAAATGTAGTTCACAATCTAGGTTACGTGTTCATTGTTGATTTCTGTTCTCTTGCATTACGATTCGTTTTGAACGTTGTTTCTTGCCTTCGATCCCAATTAAAAGTACCATTGAATAATTTTCTCTACGTTTTTACAATGCAGAATCTCAAAAAGAGTTTTAACACCACGTATTGTCGACAGAAGCTTCCTCGTACATTTCATAGGACCCTACTTCCTCCATTTAAAAACTTGCTACAGACTGGACGGCTGTGGTTCGGTCCCCGACGGAGACAGAGGATTTTTTTTTCTCTCCTCGATTGTTTGGGAATTTTCCGAATAATACAAATGTCACTTCACGACGTTCTTCTGATTTTGCATTTTGTCAATGATGGAACAGGAAGCGGAAGTTGATTATGCAATTGTGTGCATTTCCGGTATCACACAGTTCCCTTGCAACGTGTTTACAGACAGTTTCAGAAAATGGTGCTACTCGAACAGATGATTTAATGATGACTAAACGTTCATTCCATCTGCAGTTTATTCAGAGCGCAGTAAAATGAAGGACGTATGTTGTAGCACTGTGCGGACTTGTAAATAGTTACCACAGTTTCGGAGAAACAAATACGTCAACCTGAAGATGGAAAAAAATATTTCCTTCGAAACGTTAGTCTACCTACAATTCGAGGAGGGCCAGAAGATCCCAACGCACGAAGAGCTTTCTGTAAGGTCGTAAACATGGCTGACTCATGGTTTGCTCCGTGGTTAAGTGATCAGGCACTCGCTGTCGTCATAGCAACAAAAAAAAGCGACCTACCAGCTGTGACTAGATCCGGGTCGCGCTGCTGTCGCTTGTCGCTGGTTTTCCTCAGTTCCTCAACCACGGGTCATGGCCATTTGTGACTAGACACTCCCCCCCCCCCCCCCCACCTGGCGGGATTTGATAAGGAAGAAGAAATGTCTTCTAGGTCACTGTAGACATTTCACGGCCGAATCTGACAGACTGAGGGCGTTTTTAAAAAGGGCGCGCTAAGGGTAGCGTTTAGATTCGAGAGGGGCTGTCCAAATATTATTAGCACGCATGGGGGGAGACAATAAATGCGTGCAGACTTTTGATAGGAAAATCTCGAGGAAATTTATGTCTGTAAGTTGTGACCATGGTTGAGACAATGGTACTAAAACAGAACTTAGAGTGTGTGTGTGTGTGGATTGGATTGAACTGGCTCTGTGATGGCGTGACCTGTTCCTTGCGCCTTGTTCTCTACTGCCTGCACAGTGTCAACTCCGCCTTCACGATGTTAAGGACGCTCATCCCCACGGAGCCGGCTGACCGGAAGCTGTCGAAGATTGAGACCCTTCGGCTGGCCTCCAGTTACATCTCGCACCTCGGCACCCAACTGCTGGCAGGTACATGGTAGGATATTATTAAAGTGGACCTGAGGGAAGAGTGCAATGGTTAGGTTAGGTGGAACTAGCTCCAGGATCTTGGACGTGGCTGCCACTTCAGATTCTGCCTCTGAACTGTAAGTAAATCAAAAGCATAAATATTTCTGTGTGTAGGCACGAGTTATTCAAATTTTGAAGTGTTTAAAATATTCATTACACCGATAATATTTTAATCGGAGGTTGTGGATTTTGATTATGTTTACGCGTGGTGTCTTGTATAACGCACGCAACTTCGATGTCGAACTTAGGAACGTGATGCGATCTTCAAAAAATCTGGCAAAATGCTCTTTTTGAGCAATTGCCAGTTGAATTGGTGGTCAGAATAAGATTTCAGGTTCTCACGGCGACGAATACGAAGCTGGCTGTCATCTGGGATGTTGCGCAGTGCAGTGCAAGTTGACCTACGTTTTGGAGGTACCTGCTGCCTTCATCATCAGGGCTATCCGCCAGGTTGCATTTCAGGAGAAGTATTTGAAGTACTGGCGGCTGACGAGCTGGGTGCACCTTGTTTCTCAGGTCCTGTTGACCAGCCATGCCTCAGACCGAGTGTTCATCCTCGAGGGGACTTCTCCCCTGAACACCAGCTCCTGGGGGCGCAGCGTTCATCTCTCTGCACATTCTGCCTCGCCAATCAGAAGAAAGTGGTGAGTTTGTTACGATCATCGACTAAAGTATTTAATAACGAATTTCGATTAAGTTTCGTTTAACATAGGTCCTTTTTAGAAGCTGACAGTCGTTCAGCTATTCAAGAAATTTACCCGTCTTTTGTAGAACCTGAAGGTTCATTACCATGTTCACAGTACCACACCACCGGTTCCTATCCTGGGTCAGATTAATCCAGTTTACAGCCTCACACTTTATTTATCTATCAGATCTTCCATCTAAGCCTGTGTCTTGCAGGTGATCTTGACCGCTCGTGTTTTCGAACTACAATTTTGTATTAATTTCTCATCTTTCTCGTGCGTTCCTTTTTTGCGAGTTTCTCTGAGTACCGTTTTAGGAATCTACTAGCTCTTAGATTACTTTCTTAACAGCATTAAATAGATTATCGTTGTAATGGTGAAGTGTGGTGTTTTCTTCGCGGTACGGACTGAATTCTTAAATAGGATTTAGACGAGATTCTGGTGCAATTGTGTCGGGACTGAAATTTCTGTTCGCTTGGGGGTGACATTTAGACTTTTCTCGGCCCTAACTGAAATGCAGTGTTGCGTCTCTCTTTTACAGAAGGCGTCAGCGACTCAGGGTGCCGTGGACCCGTTCAGATACACAGTTCAGCCGCATGGGGGCCAAGCCGTCGTTTTCTACCCTCCACAAACTCCAGGCCCCGTCAACTCTACAGGAATGGATTCTTTCCTGTGCTGAACTTCTATATCCGCGGCCTCAGGACAACGCGGGGATCTCGCTGTTCCATTCACTTCTTCTGTCCAGTCACATGACGTTACTGTTGTTCACGTGATTGTTGACAATGAATAAGCCTCATTGTTGGCGTGGTGCATTGAATTGTTAAACCTTGTTGGTTTTAATATTATACGCACTACCAATGTGATTCATGTTTTTCCAACGTGTCAGCACATTAAAACTTTGTGTGAAGTTACAGTGGTTTATTAATCATCTCGTCAAAATATTATTTCTGCACGCCATGTGACCTTCTTCCATAAAATTAAAAAAAAAAATTCAGTAACTATATCCTAGTTTGTAATAGTCACACAAAACCTTCCAGTCCCTACACCGAACAACACTTCACAAATATGCGTGGATTCCAATTGTATGCTCTTAATAACATTGGCATTGGTAGATGAATCAGGAGCACGCAGATCGCAGAATGCGTTTCAAAGGAGATACATTGCCTCCTAGAACCTTTATGGCAGCAAATCCCTCATAATTATACGTTTAATTTATATAGTGCGTTGTCCATCGTCTTTTGTGTCAGGCTGTTTGGCTCCTTTCCGACTTCAGGTGACATTACATCTTATGAAAAATCTCACCTTCTGCAGGCCTGTCCTTCCTTGGGGTTGGTACTCCTGCCTTTTCCTTTGCATACGGGGATTTCCCATACTTAATATATTTTGCAACCATCTTGTAATAAAATGGTGAGATTTCATCGACGGGATATTAAGCCATATAGTCTCGTAGAAGGCTGATCTAATCAGTGTTGTCATAAAACTGCACCTCACACCAACCCTTATGAAACCATAAACATTTAAATTTTCTGAGTGCTTTCTTTCTTCCAAGAAGAAAGTTTCATACGAAAAAATAATCGGCAAGTGTTACTGCACACAGCGATAATGCAGTTCGTTCGTGATTAAAAGAAATTCTTGTTCCTGATTGAGAGAGTGTAGCATTTTAAAAGCTCATATTTCTTGCTGTACTGTCTTTACACATTTCATTAAGTTGTTGTGAACATTACGCTATTTGAAGTCAGTCCAAAATACCATATCCAAATTTTCTGGGAAACTAAAATATAAACGATGATTTGAGGTTTTCACGACGGTGAATCTGAAGAAGGCTGTCTTCTGAGTTGTCGCCCTGGTGATTAAAGTAGCAAGGACCTCCGAAACGTCGATAAACTTCTACCAGACAATCCAGGGTAAGAACCGAGAAGATAGCCATCTTCAAACTAAAATACTGCATGTGGAGCTTACGTGATTGGGTGGAGTGGTTTGTCTGCTCTCTAATGTCTTTGTATGGAGCGTGCGAGAATGATCGGAATAATCGACGTGTTGCTGTTCGATATAAGAATGTCTCGAGTCATTCAAATCGCCCATGAGTATCGAGAGTATTCATATCTATGTTTGACCTAATCTGCGATTTGATATATTGTATTTTGTAACATAAAATCGCAAAGGGCAGTCATTTCGAGAATGTAGTTGTTCATTTGTTGACATTTTGGTCTTGTGTTATGTTTATAATTTTTTATATTGCAAGGTGTCAGTGAAGCGAACCATATAATCAAATTAACTCGTATAAGAACAAAGGTATGAATCTGATTGTTCTGTCACTGATAGTAGATAAAATTGATGGTTGAGATTGAGTGTGAGTAACGTATAAATAGGCTACATGTAAAATATTCGAAACTGATTGGACTGCATGTAATATCATTGATAACAGCTACATATGTGTATAAACTTGTCGTCAGTGGCCAGCCTCGTGATTGAATTATTTATTTCAGAATAAGAATTTACTGAAAGGTGAGAAAGAATGCTTGCACCAGAAATCGGTTCAACGAACGATGGGCCAGTATCTGTGTTATCAGACACTGGCACGCCTGTTGTGACGACAGTGAATGAAAAGGCCCCGTTAATTTCTAAACGACGCTTCTTCAGCAGCTTGGCAAGTGCATTTGGTTTCGGTTCTAACAGCAATTTAAGTAGTGTTGGTTATGTTGAATTTGGGGCGAGTAATGTGGAATCTGGAAGAACCCTTGGAACATTTGCAGGTGTTTTCAGTCCAGTGGCCCTCTCCATGTTCAGTGCATTACTATTTCTTAGAGTTGGTAAGTTTTATTTTTATTTATTTTATGTAATAAGTAAGGTAATTTTATTGGGTTTTGAGAGGGTTTCACAATGCTTAAAAAGTGGGCTCTGGTATTTTAGGTTATGACTCCATGTAGCCTTGAGGTACTAATCACCTTCATCCTTATGGTAGAAGTTTTAGGTGTTATTTTTTGTAAGCACCAGGCAAAATATACTGAAGGAAACACTGACAGATGATATAGTTTGTGGATTGACAGAAAAATTATTACAATCCTTGGTTTTTTAAAGTTAAAGATTAACTTTACATGATATTATTTGTTTCAGGTTTCATAGTTGGGAATGCAGGGCTGTGGGTGACATTGTTACAGTTTGTTATAGCATATGGGATCCTGCTCTTTACCGTGGCCTCAGTGTGTGCTGTCGCGACAAATGGAGCAGTTGAGGGAGGTGGAGCCTACTGTATCCTTGTTGCTTATCTCTTGACCTGTTTAGCTGAACTTTGTGGAACTTACTGTTATCAGATTATTAATTGTAACATTCTGCCTCCATGACACAATGTTCATCTTATGGAAACCAAAGGTTTAAAGCAGCCTGCTATTTAACACACCCCTGGGGCTGTTGATTGAAATTCAGATCTTCACATCTTAATTGTCAAAACTCAGTTTCAATATTATTCTCCTCTTCACTTGAAGTGTTTTAACAGAAGTTTTGCATTTTCCCCCATGCGCTATATGACCTGCTTAATCACCCATAGTTTAAAGAGCTGAACACTCACCTTTATTTCCCCATACATCCGCATGAACTCCCGTTAATGAATAATCAGTGACATTAGCATATGTTACTGCACGTTTTCTTAATTTTATTGTCTCTGTTCATGTAAATGAGTGTCTCTCAAATGAAAATCATGGTGAGATGCTTAGATCCTTTAAGACCACACTTTTCCAGGCTTAATGGCTACAGAAAGTGGAAAGTTGAAAAGTTCAGTCATGTTTAATCCAGGGTGGAGACACTTCATGGGCAGCACATATTTTCCATTGTATTCACTTAACGCGATAACTTTTAGTTATGATCAGTCGAACACTTGGTCCAGAGTTTGGTGGGTCAATTGGAACCCTGTTCTTCTTTGCAAACATCGTAAGCAGTGCCCTCTACATTACAGGCTGCACTGAAGGCATAGTTGAGAACTTTGGCACATCAGGTAAGTGGAAAGTTTCTTAAAGTCATATTTTTTTCAATGATCTTAACTTCTCAATCATACCAAGTTGGCAAAACACTGCTTTCTGATTTTGTAGTCTTTCCTCACGTTGACGTTGGTTTATGTTTGAGGAGTAATGACAGCATGGCTACGTGTTCTGTTCGCAGGATATCTGGTGGGGGAAGGCAACATAGGGCTGCCAGATGGCCGGTGGTGGCGGTTTCTTTACTGCTCTTTCCTCAACGTCATTAGTTTGGTTGTTTGTTTAATTGGTGCCGAGATGTTTGCCAAAACGAGTGTCGTGGTCCTGGGTGTCGTCTGCATCTCCTTGCTCTCTGTGATAATCAGCTTCTGCATTCACGGTCCTATGATGGTAAGTGCAAGATATAAGATTCCCAGCACACAAATTTGGCAGGAAGTATGTGAAATCTTTATAAAGATGTGGGATATGTGACTACGATGATATTAGGGCAGGGCTATTGGAGCTGCCCATACATGTTGAAACACTTATTCAGTCACTGCTGTACTCGCAGATAGGCATCACGTGATGGCATATAGCTGTAAATTTTGATGTGTGGAAATGGACTGCCTGAAGCAGCACACTAATGTCATGTGACTGGGAAAATAAGCTACAAATACAGATCATGTATCGCATGTGCGTGCCAAGTTTAAGCATGGCACACAATTACTGGAAAATGAACTGCACAGTGGATGGCTTGCAACAGTGACATGTGTGCCCTGATTGTCAGTAGTTGCCGCATGACCCTCAGCTTCTGAAGTTAGCAGGTATGGTCTTGTATTCTTTTCTGTATTTTATGTGTCCGTGAATTAATATGCACAACCTTTGTGTGGTCTGCCAGGTCCTGATCCCAGAAGCAAACACTCTGATCCAAAATGGGTCGGTGCCTGTGTACCGCAACTACACCGGCTTCCAGCTGGACACACTCAAGGCAAACTGGCATCAGCAGTATTCGGTGGACTACTCATCAGATGGCAAAGTAGTTGACTTTGCAACAGTGTTTGGAGTTCTGTTTAGTGGTGTCACTGGGATCATGGCAGGAGCCAACATGTCAGGTACTTGCATCTCATTGTGTCTTGATTCTGGAATTTGTTAGAGAGATAAAGTAACGTGATTTGGAAACGTGCCTAGCATACCAGAAATAAATTTGTTTCATTAATTTATTGTTATTAATGCCAGATCACGATGGCTCTTCAGATTTCTTAAACACTTTGATGAACGTGTGTTTTATTTCCACTTTTCTTTGTTGTTTTATGTTGTGTGTGGGCCACTACCTCTTCTGAGCTCTACCAGATGTGGAGGATTTTATTATTTCACTATTAATAACAAATCAGAACAGGTCAGAGGTCTGATTTGTAACCTTGAAGGAGAGAATAATGCTGATAATTTCTTATGTAATTGATAGTCATTATTAAAAAGAAATTATTTTATGCAGAAGTGGCATACATATGCAATATTCCACATTCTGTGAGGGAAGTGTGGTGCTGCTGGTACCACTAACTCTGCTGAGAGCATCATATTTCGGTCTGAACATTTGTTGTAGGGGAACTTCGTGACCCGGCTCGCAATATCCCACGCGGAACGTTGTCAGCCGTAGCATTTACATTTCTCTGCTACGTGGCAGTATCATTCCTCACAGCTGCCACAAGCTCACCAGGGCTCTTGCAGAATGATTTCATCTTTATGATGCCCATCAACATCTGGCCGCCGTTTGTCGCCTTGGGAATCCTTATGGCCACTTTCTCTGCAAGCCTCAGTAACCTGATTGGTTCTAGCAGAGTTCTGGAGGCACTTGCCAAGGATAATGTTTTTGGTGAGATGAAGTTATTGATCGTCAGTGCAGATTGATTTCCAGTTTCGTCTGTATTTGTCAGATAGTATTAACTGCTGGGAGTACAATGGTTTAGCACATCAGCTATTTATTATCTTAAGAAAGGCTTATTAATTGGTTAAAAAGTGGCATATTTCAGCCCACATTTAGTATATTTTTCATTTATGGTATTCCTTCATTTAGAATAGTGTTGTTGATAAGTTAGTTGCAGGTAGTGATAGTAATGTGTGGAGATGGGTGTACCAGTCCCATTATACAAATATAAGAAAATAAAACAGAAAAAATGAAATTTTGTAAATGATAATTTCTTTGTAAGCTGGTTATTTAAAGTATGATGCTGTGAATATTGAACAAGTAGTGAATAATTTGTGGTTCTGAGACCAGTGTAGATAGTTCAGCATTTTCATATCTGACTAAGGTCAAACAGTGCAGGTGTGGGGTTAGGATCAGCTGTGGAACCTACTTTAAGCTGTAGGTGACCACTGATGTTCATCCTACTAGCAGGTACAGGATGGCCTAGCCACTGTAATAAAAATACTCCATTTCAAGCAAGACAGAGACTAGGAAGTTTTGAGTAAAGCAGAACGAGGTATTAGCCAAAAAAGGTACATGGGGTGACTGTTGGGTATAATTGCAGGATTCATACTGCAGTTTGTAGTAAAGGGGACATGGCGTGGAAACCCGGTTGCTGCGGTTCTGGTGTCGTGGGTGCTGGTGGAACTGATCATGTTGATAGGCTCACTCAACACCATCGCCCAGATTAACTCAGTTCTGTTCCTGCTCTCATATCTTGCCACTAACCTTGCGTGCCTTGGCCTGGAGATGGCGTCAGCCCCTAACTTTAGGTTTGTGACCTCTGTTTCATGTTACATTTTCTTTTGTTTTTATGTTATCTCTGTGCTTATCTTCATCATATTGTTTCTCTCCCTCACTCTCCTCCTCCTCCTCCTCTGTCTCTTTGTTTTCCCCTCATTTTTATTTGCTTCTCCTCATGTTCCTCTTTCTCTGTATCTCCTTATCTGTTATCTTTCTTCCTGTACCTTTCATACAACATTCTTGCCAGTCTAACTTTTTCAAGCTCTTCCTTTGTGTCATATCCTGGCTGTCCCTTTGGGTTAAGAAGTCGTCTGATACTTCTGAGTCTAGAATTTAAGCCAGACTTATGTTATGATGGACTTACATTAATGATTTGACCATGGAAATTTTCAGGAAGTCCCAGTGAACAGTTCACTTTATCATGTTTCTCTGTGTTTCAGGCCATCGTTCAAGTATTTCACCTGGCACACAGCATTTGTAGGCCTCATTGGCACTCTAGTGATGATGTTCCTCATTAACAGCGTCTACGCATCCACTGCTATCGTGTTGTGCCTTGTGCTGGTCATCATCCTACACCTTTTCTCCCCCTCACGTGAGGCCCACTGGGGCTCAATTTCACAGGCACTCATATTCCATCAGGTGATTATGCTCCACCATGTTGCGGTTCTGCTAACAGGACTGTGTCTACTGCATAGGGTAGAGGTACCGGGAAAATAGACAGGAGTTTATTATGGGACAGTCTGCTCTGGTGGAGATGTTAATGTTGGTTCTGAGTTCTAATAGTAGTGCATGCTCCATGTGTCTGTTGTTTCCCTGGGTAACATCGCTCACTTTTCTCTTCAGGTACGGAAGTATCTGTTGTTGCTCGATTCTCGGAAAGATCACGTCAAGTTCTGGAGGCCTCAAATGCTGCTTTTAGTTGGAAACCCGCGGTCCTCATGTCCACTTATCCAGTTTGTGAATGATCTGAAGAAGGGGGGCCTGTATGTGCTGGGGCACATCAAGGTGGGGCAGTTATCAGACATCGAGGTGGATCCAACACTTGATGAGTATGCACACTGGCTCACTTTGATCGACTGCTTGAAGGTGACTGGAAATGTAATTTTGTGTACAGTCAGTGAGATATTTATATATTTGCAGTCCCACGTATAATACTGAAAGTGTGTCCATGTTGACAGGTGAAAGCTTTTATTGAGTTGACGGTTGCTCACTCAGTGCGTGAAGGTTTGCAACATATGATCCGTATGTCAGGACTTGGAGCCATGAAGCCCAACACAATTGTACTTGGCTTTTTTGATGAGGAGCTGCCGTGTGACTTCTTTGAAGAGTGAGTGCCGTATTTTCCTTCTAAGAAGTTTACGTGTATTTTTCTTCCTCACCGCATTCTGAATACCCTCTTCCAACTTTTGTTCTCTTTTTGAAGATCTTTTTCTTAGTTGCCTTCTTTTATGGTCATTTTATTTTCAATCCGGTTTGATACATCCAGACTATCATAGATATAGTTGAATATAGTTGAACTGTCGTGATCAGTTTTCTGTTGCTACCTTAGTAGTACCTAAGAGGTTGTAATTACTTTATTCTTTTACATCCCAATTTATCGATCACTGTACATATGTAGCTGTGAATATATCACTGAATAAGATAGTAGGTGTAACATCATCTTGAAAATTAACATTTGCCCTGTGATTAATGTTTTCAACTCTATTTTTCCAGTAGCAGTTTTTTTTTTTTTCCCCCATTTCTTTTAACAATACATCAACATTTTTTCTTGTTTACAAGGTCCATTGAGAAGTGTCTTACATATGTAACTTACTTTGTGTTGCAGCAGTGGCTCATCATATAGCACAGATGTGTTCAGAAATGTGTACACAAACAGTGGTCGCAGTGTGTTCACACTACGCTCCTCTGCAAGTGAGAAGGCTCTGGGTGCAATTGAGTATGTTGGTATGGTGACAGATACACTGAAGATGAGAAGGAATGTTTGTCTGTGTCGTCACTTCCATAATCTGGACAAGAAATTGATAGCCAAGTGAGTTTGTGGGGGTTATCACACCTGTAAGGTCAGGTTTTATGTACTATATTAGTACAGTTACACTGGGATTAGTTACCTTCTCGCCAGTTTTTAAGAAAAACGGTCATAACTCTGTAATTGATCAAGAAGAATGATAAGCAAGTGGAGGGAAGTGTCCAGGGTGCAGTTCATGAACATGCATTTTATTAATTGTTAACAATAATTTTAAAAACTACAGAACCTGTTGCATTGGAATTGTGTGTGGTAGGAACTAGGGTAGGATCCGAAGGCACAGCATTAGTCTCGGTGTGTTAATGTTTCAGACTTAATAAAATCCTTTTTCTTTTTTCTCCTTGCTTCTATTTGGAAATACTGTGAATCAAGGTTAAAATCTGATCGTCTACATTTCAGGTCATTGAGCATGAAGTTCATTGATGTGTGGCCTGTGAATTTCTTTCAACCAGATGACGAAGATCCATTTGACACAACCAGTCTCTTCATGTTGCAGTTGGCCTGCATCATCAACATGGTGAGTTCCCTGCTGTATATCTGTTAAGAGATAGGGCAGCAATATAAAGTCCTTTCCTGCTTATCTTTGGCACAGAAGTCTCTCTTGCAGGTTATGAAATTTATGGATTTGTGTGATGAATGTGGCAACTATCCTCTTATCTCTTTATTGATAAATGACCTGTGCAGTTGACACAGCTTTGTTAAATAACCATGAACACTTATATGAGATACTGTTTTTCTATATATATATATATATATGAATAATTTGTATCAGGTTCCTGGCTGGAAGAACCTCCACTTGAGGGTGTTTCTGTGTGAAAATAATCGCCAGCAGGATGACACTGGCACCAACGACTCATCCAGTGTGCCTTTCCGTTCAAATGTACATCGTCTTCGCCAGCTTCTTCAGATGCTACGCATAGCTGCCACCATTCAAGAGGTGTGTGTTTAAAAGCAAGGGCTCTTTGTAAAGTTCATTATCACACTAATTCGTTAATATTGCCAAGCATGAACCTCATTCTCTGTCTTTCTACCTTCTATTACACCTCATTGCACATAAGTGGCCTGTTATCACATTAGACTCTAAATAACCCCTACCTTGATTTAGTACAAAAGCATTCATTCTGTTGCTTTTGTTGGCATTCTTGTTTCTTCGTATTTAATTTTAATAGATTCTGTAATTTGTAACTGAACAGGTTCCTGGATGGGGTCAACAGGCAGCAGTGCTACAAGGGGGCTCTGTCTTGGAGCAGATGTCGCCACATCCAAGGAGGCACAGAGCAGACAGCTTCAAGAATGAACAGCTAGACAATGCTGTCAGGGTCTACCTGCTCAGGTGAGAAGTTGTACTGAGTTCATAGTTTCCTTCATAAAGTGACACAAATATCTTCCTCTTGAGTAGCACCCTGCCTCTCAATGAATGGTCACAGGTATTCTTTCCCTGGAAATATATCAGTATGAAGCTGATT